ATTACTGCTTGAGCTTCCTACTTTTATTCGTATCTTTTCAAATAATTTATTCCTATACTCATACTTTTGATTGGTTATGTGAAAGTGATTATAAACGAAGGCTCTCTTCTCCTTACTTTTGCTAATATTAAATATTGAAATTCTAATCATAGTTATTTGTGTAGAAGTGAAAGTGGTTTTTTGCCACTTTTCATCAGATTTCGTCCCCAATTCTTGTATTTTTTGTTTACTTTGTTCACTTTTATTATTACAAGGAACATTTACCTTTTCAGTCAGTAATTCAGTCCCATGCACAATTTGAAGATCAGAATATTGCTACTTCAATTTATAGCCATAACACTGCATATTAGACTAATTCCAAATATTTTCGAAAAAATAATTTGTTAAAACTGTCATCTAAATCAATGTTTTTTGATAACATAGCGCATATGTCCGAGTTAATATGTCACTCGATGTTTCACTCTCTGAAAATATCACTTGTTTCACCATTGAACTTTTGCCCTTTCAACCTGTAAGCAAAAAAGTTTTTCCGATCAAAATTATTTCACTCTGAAGTTCTAATTTCTAACGGTATCACTTTTGTACTTTCTTTCCCGTAAAAATTGGATTCCTCATTTCATATTCAAGATACGATGTACTTAATTTTTGAAATTTTATAAAAAGCTTTGATGCTTAATAAGTTATGATGGGATTGTTACTTATTTTCCCCTCAAATTTGATACAGATTATTAATAATGTGCACTTTTGTGCTAAGAAAGAAGATTCATTTGAGTACTCAATAATATAATCAAAATTATTTCAATGATCAGATTGGACTCAACTGATCTTCCGAATATTTTTTGCTAATTTTCTTGTTTTTATTGTATTTTTTGAGTAACTGAAAGTGAAAGAAAGAATATTTTTACTTTTATTCCGCTCAAATAAAAGCGAGTCAAATTTCGGATCTTTGATTATGTTTGTATTCTTTTTAAATAACAAGCTTTCTCATACTTCAAATTGAATCCTTCCAAAAATAAAAATATTTAATACCATTTAATAAAACTCAGGACACTTTCTTTTACCTTCTAAATTCTTCACTTCTAAAAGTTTATTAATTTAGTTTCTTAATTCTAGTTTTTTAATTTAGATATTGTTAGGGAATTTGAGCAGAAAGCTTATTTGTTAGCTTAATCATTAATAAATGATAAAATGTCAAATTGCTAAAAGACCTCTTGGAATTTGTTTATCTATTCTAAATATTGCAAAAACAGAGTGAATAATTTTTAAAATTGTGTACTCGTTTACTTGAATGTGTTTTTCATTTTATCAATTAGCTCAATTAGTGCTAAACTGATCGAGAGCAAAATATTTACACACAGTAATGATCTGTGATACTTGACAACCAATACGGGTTTGATGTGTTGCCTACGGAATTGTTATGCAAAGTTTGATTTAACGGAGAGATCTATCGAAAAGGAAATTGGTAGCAGGGCAATATAATAAAAAAGGAAGTTACTTTTGGACCTACTGATTTTCAGACACATTCAGCTGATAGTGATTTTTCTTTTTTTTTTGATAGAACGAAACCAAGCTGATAAACTGATCATGTTAAGCAATACAGTTTAAGGATTTGATGGTGACCTTTATATACCTTGAGTAACGAGGATTTAATAAAAGTATCCATGATGAGATCAAAAATGACTTCTCATCATGAACAAAATAATATTAATCGAATGTGCTCCTACGGACGTATTATCAGTTACACCGAAGAAGCACAGAGAGAGGAAGGGAACTGATAAGAGTAGTATTCCAGATCATCTAGAAAGGTACTGATCACTAACTAATGACAAACAAAAAAAAAGAAATCCTTTCTCTCTCCACAATGAAAAGAAAAAAATTTATCATTGTTAATTACATTTCTTGTTTAATTGTGACCATCATTTCTATTAGGAAAAGTTTTTCTTAAGAAATGTAATTCTCAGATTAAGGTGAACATTTAAAATAAGAATTTCCCTAATCCAGGCTCTGCTGATATAATGGCCAGATTGATAGAGAGATGAATCCAACTGTGATAGTACTAGATATCATATTCAAAAGCTGATCAGAATTTCTTCAAAATCCGTTCCAGATGCATTCGCAACAGTAATATTTTGTGTATTGGTTATTCTACAAATATCACATTGCACTGTCAACATTATCTTCCATTTATTTCGGTATGACAGAAAAATAACGCATATTTTATTGAATAAGTTTATGTCCTTCAACAACATATCTTTATTTATATCATAAGTGGAGTTATCACATTATTCGAATGCAGCAATCTATGAATTAAATTAGCCAAATGCTGATAACACTATTAAAATGACGATTTTTGGCGACATACTCATTCTGGCTGTTCTGATTTTCTGTCGCAATTGGATACCAATTTTGGTTGCAATGTAAAGCAGAAAATTTTAAAAACAATATGATATGTGATGGTGTGAAATAATTGAACAAATTGAGAAAACTTCAAGTTCATGATGTGTAAAAGAGTACAGTAATACATAGAAAGTTCAATCCTGTTATATAATTGCTGAGTTTGAATATGAGAGAAGATAGAAAAAGGGAGAAGACATTAAGCATGATTAGTTCTTGTTTCGATTAGTACTCATGAACTTTTACACTCAAAAGAATTGACAGCAGTCAAGAATAATTACAAATGAATGGAAGATAGGCTTTGAGAGGATGTTGCTATTATGCAAATATAGTTTACACAGAATAGTTTGGAGCAGTTGCAAGCATTAATATTCTCTTCTCTTCTCTTGAAATGGTGTCATATCATTTATCATTATTTCATTAAAATCATATGCACGCATTACTTCTACTACTTTAATTGGTTAAAAATGATAACTTATAACTTATTCTGGATAATTATAAACTATCCAAACTTTGATTTACTATGACAATATTTTCTGGAGCTATTAAATTTTGGAAAAGTGCATGATATTAGAGAAAGTTAGAATTTGAAATCCTAACTGAATTCCCGAAATCATAAAATCTGGACGTTTTTTCTTCAAAAAAATAACCGACAAATTTCTAGATAATTTTTAGCAAATTTCTAAATAATTTTTAGGGTGATGTAATTAGTGATAAGTGCAAAAATTGGCAGTAAATGCATAAGAATAACTGTAATGTACTAAGATAGCCCAATGTTTGTTTTTGATTAGCAGGAATCTGCATGAGAACTTGTTAAAGATAATATACTGGCAACTGCAATACGAGCTCCTTCCTTTGTGTACATTTATTTTTTGCCGTGTTGTAACAATTTCGCCAGTAGCTTTTCAAATTGATCGTTAGCTTTCTACTCTCAACTCTCTTCAAATCATTATTTCTACTTCAGTTATAGGCAGGTGAGATTGAACCAATGTTAAAAGATTTACTTGTTTGTTTGTTTTTTCTTTTCCCTTTGGTAGTTCTTTGTTTAAATATTAAGATTCTAGTGTGAAGCAGTTATCCTTCATGTGTTATCTTTATTCGGAATTGCTGTTTTTCCATTCTGAGAATGAATGGTCTGTTATAGGTTCTTGAAAAAAGAGAAATAAAGTTTAAATCTGCTATCGCGATAAGTGTTATTTTCGAAAATCCGAAATTAGTTGCAATTACAATTCTCGTTTTCATTTCTTCCCGAAGAAGAAGCTAAAAAGTGTTGGCACATGGTGCTGAAATATGAAGTGAAATTTGGCAATTGGAAACGGTCTTAGTCATTAAACTATCTTTGAAATAGTTGGTAGAAGATTTAAACGAGAGTGTGTATCCTTCATTTATTCCGTCTTGTAGTTTTCATTTCATTTTATTCGAGAGAGTTATTTTAATCTTTGAATGAATTTATGTGGTATTGGTATGGCTGTAATATAAAGTTTACTATTTTATGGAAGGTGAAATAGGCGGCTTTTGTCAGATGAAACTGAAATTCTTCAAATTTTGTAGCGAAAAGTACATCTACACTTTATTGGAGGAAGTTACCCTTTCTTACCTTTATTTATCATTCTTTGTTGAACATTTCTGAGCACACTTAATAATCGATTAGCTAATTTTTTCTTTTAAATAATGCTGAAATTCATTTAATGAGTTTTTAAAATAAACTACGAAATCTAATAAATTATTGTTAGTCACTTAAACAATTGTCTAACCCTACAGATAGGAAAACCAAACACATTTTATTGTCTAATCCTACAGATAGGAAAACCAAACTCATTCTTACTAATATATTTCATAAGAGAAGCCCTATAGAAGTTAATCATTTCATCCACTGCACATTCAATTTCCACAAACCAAGTGAATTTCGATCTTACCAAAACCGCTTGTTATCTTTAACATCATCATTTTCTGTTCTGTAATTTGAAATCGAAATGTTCTATTGCCCAAAAAACTCTAAAAAATCAATTTCATCATTTGGAGGTATGAACCGGTCAATGGAGTGACAATGTAACTGATATTGCTGGTACAGATGGTCGCATAACTTTGAGAACAAGCTTTTCAAATGGGTATTTCTCTTTTTTACCTTTTTTTTTTCGATTTCAGCAACAGACTATGGCCTTCCTTTACAAAATGATAGATATACCTTAAGGCATATTAGATATCGGTATGAAGTAAAGTAGGACCAAAGATACAACTGAATAAGCAGAAAGAATTCTGACTTGTAAGGATTTCGAATGCTTTTTTTAAAGAATCGCTTCCAGTTGGTGTGAAAGCCTTATAAATTAAAAGTAACTTGCAACTTTTTTTTGGAAATTTTCAAGTTATACAATTTTCCGATATCTTAAAAAAGGATGTATTTAAAGTTAATGCGTAGCTTACATCATATTCTTCATCAATTTCTGCCACCACTAAATGACTAACGCATTGTCTCAACGAAAATCTTAAAATCATCGTGCGAATGAATCAATCTAATTTATACATGCGTCTCCAACCTGCAATTTGTGCTGTTAGCTATTTTAATCAGTGAAAATAAAATAAATTAGTTTGTGGAGTATTTTCGGAGTTTCCATTCAAATTTGTTATGAAAATACTTAGTTAATTTTATAAGAAACATCACAAAAATATGAATCATTCGAGGAAATTTATACAATCTTCGCATCACTTTCTCCAAATATTTCTCAACTCCATCCTCAAAATTCGGAAAGATGATGAAATCTTCCAATTTTCCAAATTTTATCTAGTATTAACCTCTTAACTTTATTGATATATTTCATAATTACTTCTATGTGTATCATATTTTCCTGAAGAGTTGCAATTTGTTTTCATTCTAGTCATATGTTATTGCGGAACTCTTGATGCATTCCAACTTTATGATTTATTTTTTAATTGTCATACGATTATTGTATTGGATTACTCTGAATGATGAAATAGAGATCGCTTACACTGCTTTGTTACAACAACTGTGTTAGTTGGTAGTCGTGAATTCACTGCTAATATTCTTTGTGAGGTAAAAAAGTAATTATATTCAAATTTAAAGTAAATAAGCTTCGGGAAAGTTTCAGGTATGCCTGTAAAATCAGATCGGAGACAAAGTATCGATCAGACGATAATACATTTCAACAAAACATCGACTTTCGGACAGATGCTTGATTCACTCCGTCGTGTTGCCAACCAAATGGGAATATGGAATGATGAAATGCATCGCGATCTACCGAAACGGTGGGAGAAACACGGGAATATGATTATCTTACCGCATAACTGTTTCAAACATCCGAATTGGAGGCTGATGGGTGCTAGTCTTGATCTTTATACTAACCAGATACATATATAACTTTCTCCTTTCTTCTTTTCATATTTAACTAAGTTTTGAAATAGATTTTGAAGCATTTTTCAAGATTTAAAATAGACTGAGTGTCATTATGAAACTTAAGAGATTGAGGGTTAGGATTATTATTTTATATGAAACGTCATACTTAGCTTCAATTTAATGAATACCTCGTCTGTCACCATTTTTATTTCTGTAATTAGCATAATCTCACTTTGACCTCTTCGATACAGATTAAATTCAGGATATAGAATGAATTTTTAATTCTTGTTTGAACAATTAAGTAATTTTAAAATCTACACATGCAGATTTTGAAAAAAACTACGAATGTATCAGGCCCAAAACTGTGGGAAATGGTAACAGAATTACTTAATACAAATCGTTTGGGAAAGAAACGTATAATTGAAGACGATGAGTTCCATGAGCCTCATATCGATCTCTTGTATGGAAAGGACGGATGGGTGGAACATATTGATGGCGATATCAGGTACTGCGTATTTTCTGACTTTCACTGATTGATACTCCAAAGAAAGCAACTGGTATTCCTTCGTTAAGTGATACAATATTGATAAGGAGCAAATACAGTAGTGTTAGAAAAAAAACCCGATTTCAGTTTCTGCTTGACGGAGTTGTAGAGGTACCAGCCGTAATTTGTTAATAATTCGAATCATTATCAAATTTTTAAAGTGGATTTCTGTTAAAACTGTCTCAAAATGGCGAACATATTCCATTGAAAACTAAAAACTTACAGATTCCTTTACGACGTCACAAAATGTTTCTTTAATGTCAACAATGCTTCAGAGAAGCAACGCATTTCAGAATTCGACTGCCATCAGGAAGTTATCACCGATATGTTTGCTGGTAGGAATAAACATTTTTGGAACTAGTAAATAGAAATCTGCTTATTATTTTTAGAAACATTTCCGGTTACAGGAATCGGATACTATGTATTGCCTTATTTGGTAAGTGCACATGCAAAACATGTCTATGCTATCGAATGGAATGAAGATGCCATTGAAGCATTAAGGCGTAGTTTGCAGAGTAACGGTGTCCAGGACCGCTGCACAATCATTCAAGGCGATTCCAGAAAGGTAGTTTCTGAAAAGTTCGAGCTGAAAGATAGGAATATCAAATATATTTCATCTCTCAACAGCTGTTTGATAAACTGACAAACTCCGCAGGAATATCTGACATATTTCATCCCTCAACAGCTGTTTGATAAACTGACAAACTCCACCTTTTCTGGAAAACAATCTTGCAAAAAGAGACAATGTCCCACCAAAGCAATGAGTATTGACAAGCTTCTAGTCCACAATCTTACAAAAGTTTTTCCGTTTTTCTACCTCTCCAGGGCAACCACCAAGATCATCAAAATCACTTGAGCATTCGAGATACTCAGTATGATTGGAATCCCGTACACTGTTAACTGTTACCTTCTTAGAACTGCTGTAAATCCAGATGATTGAGAGATTTCCTCAATCATCTCTTGAAGGATTTCCTCTTGAGGGATTTCCTCAATCATCTGGACTTACAGCAGTTCTAAGAGATACTCTGTAGTTTAATCAGGAAAGCAGTTTCTAACACTTCAGAATCCCAGTGAATATACTCACTTCTTTAATAATAAAGACTACCACAAATGTTACCGTAGGTAACACCGCAGGGTGTAGCAGATCGTGTCAATATCGGATTGCTACCATCATCACGACCGTATTGGCTGGCTGCTTGTAAATGTTTGAAATCAACAGGAGGAATACTTCATATACATGAAGCAATCAGGACATCAAAACAGCAGACTGGTAGTTTGGAGCTCAATGATAAACCAGCTGCATGTTCCAAACTCATAAGGTACCAAGAATTATTGGAATTCCTTCGTGTGAAAGTTTTGCATATTTTGTTAAATTGGAACTTCAGTTTCCACTCACTCAGTAAGACCTGGAAGCCGTCTAAATCATTGTGGTACACACTGCATCACAAAGGAAATCCGATATGGAAATCAGTAGGATTATTGGTGTAAGAAACCATATCACTAATCACTTAAGACTCGCAAAATATTTGCCAAAATTTGCCTTCACTAAATCTCCAATCAGCAATTCGAGAAACTTCTATATTCGAATAAACTTTATAGGACCGAAAATGTGAAGCCCATGAGCGAAGAGACCGCAATGAATAAAATTACCGATGTTAAAAGTATTGGTACCGAAAACAAGATTACACTGGAAAAAATTGATAAAAATAAAAGCGCCTTCTTCAGCAAATCAATAGATGATTGTCCTACGGAACGTGAAGGTTTGGTTTACACTCAAATTTACCAAATAATTTTCCACGTAAAATTTTTTTGAACCAGATGAAGTAGGATACAACACCTACTTTTTGTGAACTCAGTATAAGAACTTCTAAATTTCTAAACTGGAAATTTTTTAGAAACGAATACAACAACATATGACAGTACAATGAAAAAAAGGAAATTTAGTCGTTCAGCAACTATAATCAAAGAAATGGAAAGTCGTGTCATGCCAAATGCACGAATTGATGATCGCCTAAGAGAGGAAAAGTGGTCAACGATTAGTCAGATCTTACAGAACTTCGCCATGACCTGTGCTATAAAGTAATATCCACTATAAAAAAAAAAAAAACTTTTAATTACAAATCCGTCTGAATCTTTGGTGCAGAACTCTTAAAATCATTCAAACATGGTGGCATAAAAAGCACAGCTATACATATGAAGTACAAATAACACCTTTTTAGAGGCTATCACATAGTTATATTTCTTCTCATCAGCATTAGTCGGTGAGAAACGACTTGAATTTGAAGTCAACTAAAATTATTTGAGTCTAACAGAATGAGCCTAAAAAAATCACCAGTAGTAAACCGCTTACTTTTATTGATGAGAAATACTGAACTGTGCCATAACTTTCTAAATTTCAGTTGCACTCAATATCTGAATAATATCCATGACGAGAAGGATAAAGTTTGGACATGTACAATATTAGAAGTGAACATAGTGAAAAGTTACCATACGCAAACAGATCATATTGTTGTGGATTTGTTGTGCAAACCGGAAGATGAGGATGAAGTGAAATGCACTGGACTTCAGACTCAAGCTGATTGTGTTTAATTCCTATTTCTGTTGTTACAATATCATTAAAACATGTGTCATATTGAGCATGAATCAAACAACAGATATTATTAAATTTGCTTTTGAAAGGGAATCTGGAAACTAGCAATAGATCACAATGACCTACCAATTTCAATAGGGAAATGGAGGGAAAACACAGAAATGAATTACTCATGTAAAATTTTGGAACTTAAAAAAATATTTGGACTTCAAATTATTGTGGCCAACCAAAGATTATCTTTCTTTTATCTATTATAAATTTCCAAAGAGCAAATTTTTGTCCAGAAAAGTTACAAAAAATATCGACTTTTATCCTCGATAGAGAGGGATTTCTTGATGACAAAGAGATGGAACCGAATCATCCTTCAAAATGCAATAGCTAAAACAGGAATCTGGCTACTTAAGATTTCTGCCTGTATACTACGTCCTGTAAAAAATGTACCATCTTATAAGCAACAAATTTAATATTACAATAAGAAGGTGAATCCCAAAAACTGAATCAGAGACCATAGAAATCCATAAATGCGATAACATTAATGCAGTGTGAAAAGAAACCGGTAAAGAAATTATAAGACCTATTGGGAATTAAGAAGTGTAAGTAAGTAATGGATGCAGTTGTATACCGAAATGAAACCGGTAAAAAAAATTATGAAACCTATTGGGAATTAAGAAATGTATGTAAGTAATGGATGCAGTTGTACACCGAAATGAAGGATCAAAATAGTAATAAATGTAATATCATTTGAAAAACATTGCATAATATTTATAAAGGACACGAAATGATCAAACTTATCGCCCACGAGAGATACTACGATTTGCTGTAACGCGTCTTGTGCGGTGCGACCGATCTTGTGCATCTCCTACAAGAAAAAAGAGACTAAATGAAATACATCGGTATATCAAATCCTTTACAGTACGATAAAGATACCGAATATTAGCATAAAAAGCAAAATTAGCTCTGAATAGTGCAAAAACTGCAATTTCCGGAATCCCTTACATCCCTCTGCAGCTGGTTCATGAAGTGAAATGGAACTTAGGAATAAGTGACAAATGTAATAATAATGTACGGGAAAATGCAAAGAACTACCTTCCGCCCTCCTATTTCTGTTCGATCGCCTTCGTCCTTTTTTAATAACGTTGACACCATCAGAATGTGCGCAGTTTCTTTTCAAGCGATTTGGTGCTAAAGCATACGATTAGTTTCAAACTATTACAAAATGGCAACACCTATAATGTTTTTCCAGTTGAATTTGCAAAAAAAAAATTTATTGCCTGGAGAAAGACTACTTTCACTTTCTTCCATCTCTCTCTTAACATCTGTTTCTTCATCAACTAGCCGGATAATATCCTCTTCTGCTTGTTCTTCCACTGCTGCAAATAAGCACACGAAAGATTACACTTGGATGAGAAATCATATTATGATGAAGCTTCATTAAATAGTTGTTTGAGCAGTAATAATAACCAAGGTACTAACCAACTGTTATTGGAGCAAACCGACTGGCGGAAAATGGCTGACCAGTAGCTGAACTATCCGTGATTGCAAGTGACAATAATCCAACACGCGCTCTGCAAAAGTCTTAAATATACCTTCGTGATGCTTTGAACGAAAAATAAAAGGTATTCATTAATCTGGAACTTTCATTAAATTACTGACTTATCAAGTGCTCCATTTCCTAATCTTGAAGCCTGTCGTTGCACGGAACGTCCCATATTGTCTAGCATCTCATCGATGTCCTGCTCATATGTTGTCAGTAGTGGAGCGATTAACTGAAACAGCTTATAATGAGGAATGTAAGTAAAAGATCCTAAGGTATAATCAAGAGATTATAAGTGGTATTATCCCATCTCCTTCATTCCTTTTCCCATTAAGTTTCTGCATTGAAACTTCTTTTTTGAGAACTACTGTTGTGCAATTTAAACTGTCATTGGAACCCAACGCCTCTTAAGGTAACAACCTTCCGAACTGTTTTTCATTGAGCGTATAAGCTTGATTTTTCAACAGCCCTATTTTACTTTAAGATCTCGTGAACTACTTTACTTTTTGATGAACGACTGAAGCACCATCCGTCCATGGTGATGCTGTCCAAAGTAGGAAGCTCATCTTCATCAGCAAATAACCCGGCACAATGTACGGCAAAAGGAGTATATCACCAACACTATCGACTGCTAGAAAACCTGCGTAAACGGTCCAGTATTTTAACCATCGCTTCTGAAACAATTTGAGTTGTTCCTAACTAGGGGCCTTTATGCGAAGAATATTACTGAGAAGGAAAGGTGAGAAATAATAAAACTGCAACCATTTGTAAGAAATCGCCTTCACGAATGACTTTGAAAGTTTTAAAGGCTGGATAAAGCGCTCCAATCACAATAGATGCGGCGTGCGAAAATAACTGAAGAACCATCTGAAAGGAAAATTTCGTGATATCACGCTGAGACATTACGTTATGAAGTGGTGACATCCACCTAACGCACAATCAGTTGATCATTCTTTAATATTACATTTATTAAACACTGTTAGAAGAGTTCCACGCCAGTTCAATAAATGAGATGGGAAAGAGAATCCGGAAAGACGACTGAAATGAAGAGATAACCATCTGTACCAGAGATAACCAGCAGAATGTTCCTGTGACAAGCCCAGTAGATTATTGGTATGACCTGGCCGGGTAGAACTTTATGCTCTTCTTTCAACAGAATCGAGTGCAAACTGCAAATTCCACTTTCTTTGTAGCGTTAACATCAATGTTAAAATGGAAAATTAAATGTTGTTCAGCGGGCCGATAACTCCAGTACATCGTTCAAGTAAAACCAGCTATCCATACCAAGTTTGGATGCATTTGCACCAGGCTTATCCACATCCAAACTACGCCCACTCGTACCCATATCAGGCCCTCCATACTGAATCACACATGCATCTCTCCGTCATAAGTTCTCCCACGGACGTTATTCCGCAACAAAGTCTCATATTCTAACGGTTTATGATCGTGTTGCGAAGAGCCAATTGATAAAAGTGTTTGCCTGGATAGAGCGGGTTTAAACGGAAGGGTTGGTGGATGGTAGGTTGTTAGGAAGAGTGGCATATGTAGGACGTAGTGGTCTTTTAAGTAATTTATCCATATTATAGAAATTAAATTTTTTTAAATCGCTATTAATAGATTGTTGACATTGCAGGAGAAACAACAATGGCTTACAACGGACCGCCGCGACACTTCACTGCTGAAAATGTCGACATGGGGGTGAGGTATATTTCTGTACTTTTCCTTTTATTCCATTCCTTTTTATTCCTCTTTTCCTATATATAGAAGATTTTCCACTTCAAGCACTAAAACAGATCGGAATGATCCGCTGATATGGTGTGTTGGCTATCACTTGCTTGATAATACCGTACCAAAGTTCTATTATTATTATTAAAGGGGAAAAAGTTGTTTTTTCATTTTTCTAACCGTAGACGTCTTAGTTGTCGTTCCAGACGAATATCTTTGTTTTCAGACAACTCTCATCGCAATGGAATTCGACGGTGGTGTTGTGGTTGGAACAGACTCAAGGACAAGTTCTGGGTACACATCCCTTTTTGAATTGAAACTACATTTATTTAACCAGCACACTAATTGACTGATAAAAATATAATGTCAGAAAATACCACTTGGTAGAAATATTAATGTTCAGTAAGAAACAGTGTTTTTTAATGCCATGATATTGTCTTGATTTATGAACTTATGGAAGTACATATTTGTGGACCCTTTCCCTTTCCAATTTTTATAATATTTACCAGAATAGCAAAGTGGAATGTAGCTGGGATGTAAGATTCCCAGTTCGACCCAGAGGCCCGTTTTTCATTTTTATTTTTCTTCCCTATCATATCGTTGGATTCGAAAATAGTCTATTTTATTGTATTTTAAGCGGTTAAGATCATTTTCTTTATAATTTTATTCATTCTTCTTATGATCACTTGACCTTTTTTTTCGATGTGTGTTTGCTATTGTAGTTTGACCTTTGCAATATTTCAAATAATCTGGGTATAGTGTACTTATCGTTTGACATGATGGCAAGCGAAAGTTTTAAAGTGTCCTATCTATTATCACATCTTGGCGTTCCTCGTCTTGTGCCAGGCAGTCCATTTATGCTGATATAATTCTGATTTAATATTTTTCATGATGTGCAGTACTCTCAAAGTGATCGATGTATTATTTTCAGGAGTTACATATCATCGCGCGCTACAGACAAAATTACACCCGTTACGAATCGAATGGTTGTTTGTCGCTCGGGCTCTGCTGCAGATACGCAAGCTATTTCTGATATTGTGAAGTACTACATTGAAGTTTATTCGTAAGTTTTAATTCATTCTGGTATTCATAAAGATGTTGCCTTGAGAAATTTTTTTACAAGTTTTTGCTTGCAGCAGCTTATTTTTTTCATTTTCATTTAACAGAATGATGGAAGAAGAAGACGTTACTGTTGGCCGTTCTGCTCAGATCTTTCGGAATTTTCTGTATAAATATCGTGACTCTCTATCAGCATCAGTTCTGGTTGCTGGATACGATGATGTTGAGGGTGGACAGGTCTGTTGCCAATTACTGGAGCTAATTTTCTTATATCACCGATCACATTTAGTATCTCCTATCGAAACTAGATATGTAGCAGCTTTTTATTACTATTAAAAATTTCTGTTTTAGTTGTATGCAATACCACTTGGAGGTTACGTAACTCGACAGCGATGCGCGGCGAGTGGTAGTGGCAGTACATTCGTACAAGGGTTTCTTGATAGTCAGTGGAAGGTAAATATGTAATATTTTTCTGTTAAGAAAGTTAAGAAAGTTTCTGTTAAGAAACTATGTTGTATCCCTTTCTTTATTTGCTTATCCTTTCGATTCAAAAATAGTGCCGTGAAAAATATGCAAAAAAAAAAAAAAAAACAACGAATTCATAGCAAAACATTTGCAGTCGGGAATGACTGCTGAAAAATGCAAGGAAATAGTGCTCAATGCAGTAGCTCTAGCAACAATTCGTGATGGTTCTTCCGGCGGTGTTATTAGACTAGCTGTTATTGACAAAACAGGCACTCAAAGAATGGCTAGTTGTTCAATCCTTGAAATTTTGTCATGTATCCGGGAAGTATTTTTGTGTTTTACTTTTTCCATTTAATTTGATTTCATTTAATTAACTTATTATAATTTGAGTTTAAAACTTAAAAGATAATTTCCCCAAGCAATTGTGAGGACTGAGACTTTTCGTCGCCAGGGAGTATGGTGATCCTAGCTGCATAAAGCATCTATTTTTATTTTTTGAATACAGCATTCATATTTCTACGGTGAGGATGTAATCGTATCTTCTTCCCTCATAATTTTTTTTTAATTTCAGCTTATTCGCCCGGATGGGAATCAGTTTCCAAAATTTGCTGATATCCCTGCACATTTAACATATCCGAAACACATTATTCAGTGATCAAATTCTTGTTTGGGATTGCATGTGTTTTGATGGGAATCTATGTGACGACCTGTGAATAACACGTTTTCAACTATTACGCAATATTATAAGATAGATTATGAAACATGTAACATTTTAGTTTACTGAAAAAGATTTTTTTGCACGGATAGTATATGAAAGGCGTTTTTGTTGAAGTTTAATTAATTGACTGTCTTTTGTTATTTTGGTTCATTTCCTACAACATTGTTGATTTCAAATAAAGACAGTTCTATGAATTTCCCGCCGCCATTTGGAATTTTGAAGTAAAAACGAGAAAACACATGCATAGTTGTACCGAAACATTTCTCAGCAATTTGAAAGAATGGTTGGTGGTTTCCGAATTGTTATTTGCATAATATTAGTTGTATGGAAATTTTCTCCTCAAGACGGTTGTCAGTAAGTGGAATGGCGTGCTCAGTTGTGGTTGTTTTGCTTATCGTTTTTGGTGCGGAAAGTTTTGTAAGTTCCATCACTATTTTAAGTTAATAAAAATTCGAGCTTATTTTTGATATAATATCGAGTTTAGAAATCAAAACGTCTCTGAGGGGTGGTTGTTCGACTGGGTTCATTTATGCGATGCTATGTATATGGTTCATCATATACATTTAATGGTTATTGTCGTATATATCTTGAAGCAGATAGGGTGAAGATCGAGTTTTAAATGTATGAGAACTGCAGCTTGACGAAGAAAATGTAGTACCAGATTTGGCACCTCATATTGATAATCCGATGGAGTTTGAATTCATTGAAGATGTCCACAAGAAGCACTATTTGAAGTCGTTATTTGCAGAGTCCTTCTACGAACCGAACTGTGATAATAAAGCCAATGTTACGGTAAATTGTTGAATGATTTCAATAGGGAAACTGGAAGTTGCTTTGCATGAGGTTTTTTCTGTAGAAGTTATTTCTAAAATTTTCGAGGCAAGATATTTTTTACGACTATTGTTACGCTTTTTTGAATTGGTAATTACAGTTTTGCAATTATTTGTATCATGATTTATTGAGGTGATTAGCTGTAATATAAGTCGTAAGGTAGTAAGATATAACGGAGGTCGTAGTGTAAATTATAGCAACATTAATGGCATGTGTACTATAAGGTCTTCCTAATTTTTTAGATTAAACCAATTTATTTTTGGCCTGGTCAGCGTACTGACCTTCGATGTGTAATGTGTCGTCGAGCGTTTACTTTTAATGGATTAATGAAGCACTGGTGGTTTATGGCGGCAAAGGACGTTGAGAATGCACTGGGAGATATGAAAGTTTCTTTTTCTTTATCAAGAAAAACTTAAGATAGTGACAATTTAACTGAGTAGTTTTCATCTGCCAAAACAGCTCGCTTAATATTATCTGCTTGCTTAATATTATCTTTCAGTATTATCTATCTCTTAATATTATCTGTATGCGAAGCGATGGGCAATGTCCACTAATTATTAGACTGAAGTAATGACCGTACTTTATTATTCATTCATTTTCGTTTAAACGGATATTCTTTTTGTCATATCTACTTTTTCATGCGCATTTTCATTTGTTCATCGGCGACGAATGTCTCCAACTGTACAAAAACTTAGAATGGCTTCCAGCACTTAGTATTTAGCAAAACAAAGTATCATTAATCAAATTGCTGCGTTAACTGAGTTTTCAGATCAACTTGTATTTGTATGTTTAAAACTGCGAATAGTAATTGGTGTATTAGTATTATATTTCAGAATCTTAGGAATTCACCTAAATGGAATCAGCATTTGCTGACATTAAGTGCCGATTATGGAGATAATAGATGGCGTGATTTCGGCGCAATGCCAAGTGACTTTGAAGCTGGAACAAATCAGCGATCACAGACTGTACTCATACAGAGAAGGGGAATGCTAATCTTGTTACAGGTACTACATGCTGTTCCATTCTCATTGTGCTTATATTCATTTGTAACCAGTACAGCAGTTAACAAACCTCGTCAGCTATCTATAAAGTACTGTCCTACAACATTAGCCATTGTAGTTGAGATTATTGATAATGAAATTCCATTAATTGTCATATCGACTTTGTTAAACTTCATCCACTGTTGAAGTAGGATTTTGCCTAGCTATATTTAATAGTTATTTTGTTGTCTTCGCATAACTCTATAGGCTTCAAATCAGTAGTCGGAAAGAGGTAGCTTTTTATAAAATTTATAAAATTTTACTTCATCATTTAATAAAGCCGGCTACTTTGTTTCATGACAATTTCGACTTTCTAGATGTCGGCTGAGACTTTGACAAATGCAGCTTTTTATCTGAATTTGTTACTCTGGTTTGCTTTGCCTGTTTAAATCTAATATTTTTGATTTGGTTTTAATTTTTTCTTCGAACAACCCACTTGATAAGGATGTGACAGCGTGTCAGTTTAATAAAAGCTTTTCGAAATGGTATATTTCATGTCTGTGATTAGTTTTTTAGTTCCTGTTATACTTAATGCTCATGTAAGTATATCACTAGTTGAAAAATTGTTTTTCAATATTTGAATTTTTTTTTTCAGTATTTCTTCAATATTTTAGTATTTGAATATTTGTTTCAAAATTTTTTAATATTTGTTTTTCCAAAAGATTACAAATGTGTTGAATTTAAATGACGTTTTAAATTGTATATGAAACTTAAAAAGGGATTTCCAGCCAACCTCCGAGAATGAAGGCCTGTATCGTTGCTTGGATGTTGCCTCCAGAAATGTCTTACACTTCGTTTATTATTTAATTGCCATGCAACCACTTTTCATTTATCTCAAGTAAGTAATTCACTTTGTAAAAAGTTGTGGATCTTGATAGATTGCTGTAAGAGCTGTTGAAGCAGACTGAACCTGTGTTCCTGGCGAAAGTTGTGCATGCAAACTATCAATAACATATATTGAAGATAGATTAAAAATGGTTTTTGGACTATCATTGCAAGCCTTTTTCGTGTCCGTAACTATTTGCCTTTTTGATCGCAACATATTATCTCATCGTGAGTTGCCCTTTTATCCCGCTCTTATAATTTAAAAAACATTTCCTCCAAATTTTATATTAAAGTAAATTGAGAAGTAAACTTTATCATGATGTAATGACCACTATCTTATTTTACCAAAACTGATTTAATTTCGATTTCTAAGGCCTGGTGAAGAGCAGATTTCTCAGATTGGTATGTTCATTTTTATGTTCTACTATATATTTGATTACATTTCTATTTGTAAAATAATATATAAATATGGCGTATGTTGGTAAATGTCTGTCTAAATGTGTAGATGTCTAAACAATAGTTACTCGAAATTTAATAAGATTAGTACGCGATTTGTCACCTTGAATAACAAGTGACGAGTCAAAAATAATGTTTAAGAAAATGTTTCTTTCATATCATTTATTGTATTCATATGTTGAGTTGTTTTTGGAATTCTTTAAAGCAATTTGCTATTCCTCATGACATTATTTAATACATGTAGCTTAACCTAAAAGCATTAAACTTATAAAAACGCAAAAAAAGAAAATAATGATTGGTCGGTTTATCGTGGTCGGTAAGAAATTAACCAGATTCTTGATTTAGTACGATTTTGATTTGATTTAATTTATTTCAATTTGATTTGTTCAGTTGAAAATAATATTATGCGATAAATGTTTTGGGCAGAAAGTGAATGTCCGGAATCGCAAGGTTTCCCTGATTCAAATTGGAAATTCCGTCACATTCCTCCTGCATATATACGTGATGCATTTCGGATGTGCGCTATGAATTGGACGTTGTGTTTCGATTGGGTATTTTCCCTTTTTTCATTTACTTGCTTACTTGTGGAGTGATTTGCAAATCACTTGAAGAGAAATGATCAAGTTGCCTTAAAAATGATAAGAGAGGAAATGGACAGTTTAATGGACAGTTGCATCCAAACGAGATTTGACAATTAAGTTGATGAGATAATCCAAAATTATTGATTCTTTCTTGAATAATTAACAGTTGTTTTGTATGTTCATCTAGTTCCTAGATTCAGTAATCATTTTACAGTTTAACTGATGGACATTTTCAAGAATGGAAGTAGAAAAGTGTCTTTAATGAGATGGTTGGATATTCAAAGTTCCAGGTAATAAGTGATAAAAATATAAACGAAGAGATCAGTTGGAATTTGCATGGGCATTCGAGAGATGCCAGATTGGCAAAAAAGTTTGTGAATTTAAAAATTCAGTTACAATGGAGTGAATGGTCATCATGCGAGCAAGGTACTACAGTGAGAACTAGAGAAGGTAATTCTTTTTCAATGGACTATGAAAAAAGTGCCTTGCAGCCTCTCAGAACTTCCAAATTTTCAGGTCACTGTTATTTGAGGAAGATAGATCCAAGTAAAGATATCGGTCAGCTGGTAAATGGTGTATTTACTGCCTATGATCTCTTCAACTGGGTGACAAGGCTGAAGAATCATATGTCAGAAATTCCCGAATTCAGTATTACTGGCATGCGTCTTTACAGGTGCTGCAATTTGCAGGACTTCTTTATCTATTCATTTTTGTTACAAGAAAAAGAGAAAGAAAAAAATGAATGATAAAATTTCTGTGAAGCTCATTACTATTAATGAATTGTTTCAGTGGGTTGGTATCAAAACTAATTCATGAAGGCGCATTCGGTGATGATAAAACGTATGATGATTGCTATAGTGTTAGTGCTGATGCTACAGTCTTCCAATTTTGTGAAGTTTAAATTTATATCGACTGTATTTTGCTCAGTGTTAGTCTGAAAACCCTTTAAAAATAGCGTGATGAGTGAAAAATTTGGAAGAATTTCTTTTCAGATGGCAGATATGTTCTTTAAGAAGCCAAAAGCGACGAAACGCTGGATTGCTGCAATTTTCGCAGCATTTGGAATTGATGATGTCGAATCAATGCTGAAAACGAGTGATCGATTATGCCTGTATTATTATAACAAGCCGACAATACGAACAGATAAAGCACCAGCTAGCGTTTTCGTTGGTACCCATCTTGTGGACACCCAACGTTGTCCAGTTCTTTAAATCTTGGAAATATATTCGTCAAAATTCATTCGTTAATTTTGTTGAGTTAGAATTATTGTTGTTTCATTTTCGAAATAGAAAGAGGATTTTTTAAAGCCTTTTTGAAACCTTTTGCATTCAAATTCTTTTTGTGTTTATCCATGATTCTATTCTACTTTTTCGGTGGTTTTGTTTCCATAGCACGACTTCAGGTTGCTTGACTTTCTTTTTTTCACCACCATGGAATTCTATTCTCCTTTCCTTCTTAACGAAAGTTCATGTTACTAAATTGTTTTACTTTCAGTTAAACCATTTCTAACCACAGACTGTTTCGTTATTTTATCTTAACTGAAGAAAGCTTTTGAGGTGACAGAGGAAGTGCGTTGGCTTCAACGTGGTATAAGTAGACTTGGTCTGTGAAAAAACTACAAATTCTAATTTGTATTCTAATTTGATGTTTTTGGTTCTCTACCACACAACCATTTTGCTATCTTCCTTTCATCACAAATTATTTTCACCACATGTAACTCCAAATTAGATATCAAATCACTACACCATTAAGGAAACCAATTTTTGAATCGGTCTGAATTTACAAATAATTTGAATCATTGCCTTTAGCTAATTAGTTGGCAACGGCAAGACTTTAATTGGAAACTGATTGAATTTCTTTACTCTAATTTTTGGAAAGTGTAGGAAATGTCGGCACTTTTTTATTAAAAAGTTTCTCAATTTTTCTGAGTTTTGATCGTATGATTTATGAAGGAGGAAGAGGGGCAAAAAAGAAACGTGGTTTCAAATGTGACTCCTTTGTTTTGTTTAAAATTGAATGTAAGTTCGAGACTGATTCAAAAATTTCTCATGACTTCGATGGCACTCAACTGTGGTAACTTTATTTTGGTGACCATTCGTGGAGATGTTAGGCACAGTCCAATCTTTTCTGCACTGCACAACTAAGACTGATTATTGTAATTGATGTGTTGGTGAGTTCTTGCTCTGCATTATAATGGAACACTGATAAGTGAAATTCATTGACAAATTTATCAGAAAAATGAGGGAATTTGTTGTAAACAACAGAAGGCTGAGAGACGTAGATTAGTTTTAAAAAAAAAGCTTTGATATATTACTGTGGTGACTGTATGGTGGTGGTAATAGTGGTGTGGCGGTAGTGGCGGTGATGACGATGGAAACGCGGAACGAGTAGTATCGCCTGATTTTTAGGGTAATGAATGGTGTGCAATCCAAAATGACCCCGTCTTCATCCATTCCTTTTTTGCATGTAATTTATCGCAAGCAGAACAGACTACTTTTCTTTCAAATTTAATTGATTTACTGAGTCTTCTACTGAAGTTTAATTTCCAGAAATAAACTGCCATTTACACACAAGACACGTTTATGTGCTCGGTGTCTCCTCTCGACGATTATTTGTCAACTCTACCACTCCCTATTCATCAATTTTGACTTCCACTTTCTTTTTAGTTTTGCAACCGCTCGTGAGTAATAGCTGTTAATTCAGATAATCATTTATCACCTCTATTTTGGATTATACAAGGTTGTCACTGATTCATCTTGGATTATGCCGTCACTGTTGAAAGTTTTCACTCTGTGTATACTTCATTCTGAATAGCGCGAATATCCGTAAGGTCGTAAAATATCAGAAGTGTGAAATGCAGATTGGTAAATGTCAAGATGTTCCAATAGTCTATATAACTTCTAAAAACAGATATGGATGGGAGAAGAGAAGGATTATGATTTTGTTTTGAAGTTGAGCAAGAATAATTATGAAATTAAAGAACAAAGTTTCAGAAAGAATCCCAATCTTTGAGACAGGCCTCGATAAGGAATAACCATTCTCTTAGATACCACTGTTTCATTCTATTAAGTAACTTTCAAATGTTTGTAACTTTTGTTTGTGGAATCGTTCTCCCGCAGAAATGTTGTAAATAGCATATATAATTGAAATTTCAGTGTCAGCTCCATCAGATTTTTATTATTATGACTGAAAATTAGATGAAAACTAGTACTGAGAGATAGCAGATATTAATAGCAAACAATAAACGATTTCAGTTGAGCCTATCCTTTTCATAGTGTATTTTGCATTAGATTTCCATGCTAAAAGTTTATTTCAAAAGACCTGTTTTTATTAAGCTGAAATAGTTGTCCTTTACTTTTAAAATACTTCTGATTCCATATCCATCTCAACACAGTCTTAATGAATTCATCACTACTTGTAAGCTAATAAGACAGTACAATAAAACGGTATCCAAATTATAAACATATCAAAAGATATTGACTAGTATAGTTACTGATTTAATTTATTCGAATTAATGTTCCAAACAGCCAGATTTTTATAAATAATTTTGATTATATTTGATCAACAATACTCGTGAAGTGCAAATGTTCCTGATCCGCTTCATTAAATGCTACTTAGTAATCATCGATTCACTTATTTCACTTCAGGTTCTACATTTGAGGTTCTATCTGCATATGATTTATCCACTTCCATTCTTTTTAAAAAGACCGTTCCAAACAGTTCCTAGGCCTCTCATCTTGGCTGTCATTGATGTCAATCAGTATATTTCAATGCAGCTTTATGTTCATTTGAATTGTTGGGTTGCCTTATATAATATTGTTGATCCCGCATCAAGGAGCTTATGCCATGTTTTGATCTACCCAAGCTTATTATGAATGAACTTGTTGATGTTCCTTGTGAGGAAAAAAAGTATATGATATACACTTTGCTGGGCAGAACATTTTTGACCCGGGTGTTCCTGAAGCAGTAAGCGCTTAAACAATGATCTTCCTTAGCAGTTCAAATGGAGATCGAAATAAAGTACTCCTTTTAATAAATCTTTAGTAATTCGGTCAGTTTCCTTAAGCATTTCAAAATAGACCTTATTTGAATTCAAATTCTCTAAACTGAAATATTTTTCCAATAATTTCCCTAAAGAATATTTGTTTTGTCCTGTAATATTTCATATTTCGGAGTTTAAGGAAAGTTAATCACTTGTACTACGTTTCAATTCATTCTCAGTTTTTTCATATCTTTGATTTTTGATAACATCTTTCAAACCCTTGTAGGCATAGATATGATCATCACCCTTAGTAGTGATGTCTAAGAGTTACATGTGGTGACCTAGAATGGTTTGTGGCAAAAGATAGATTGTAAAGTGGTTATTTGATCAAGAATCATAATCATCATCTTAGAATATAGTTACTTGTAGTTTTCTTACAGGCTAAATCCATTCACACCACGTCGAAGGTAACGGTCTTATCTCCAAGGTTTCCTTTAGCCGCTTCATTTCCAATAATGGTCTTCTTCATTATAACATTAACATCACAATTCTGGATCACATTTGTTTCATCGGTACCGTATAAAATAATTTTTCAGTTGATACTGCTATGTATCGTGATTTTGAAAATTATTATTTAATTAATAGTTACTTATACACTAACCCTCTCATTCTTCTTCCCCCTTCTATTTCTACAATATACTGAGCTCAATCTTTCCCTTTCTAAAATGATAATTAGAAGTATAGCGTGCATATTTTGACCGTGAGATATTTTGTAATGACATTTGCAGTGAACTACCGATGGAAGAGGACGGAAAAATAGAAACCGATACTATTTTTGATCAACAATTTATGCAGCGCTTACTTCACTTTTAAGCTCCTAATAATAAGGCGCAATTGAGCTAATAAAGCAGATTTTTAGACAAATTTGGAATCCGAAATGAAACGCCCAAGTGCAATAAACTCTGTTCTTTTTCCTGTTTTCAAATGGCACTTCTTCCTGGAACATTGCAGCAAGCTTTTGTAATATTCCCTATTGTAGTGCGTTAAATGAGTGACCAATGCTAATTACAGTAATTGTATTACTGGAAAGTAAAACTGGTATTTTTACTTTACGTTAAGATATGCTTTTTTAAAAATGTCTTTTTTATTTCAGATCGAAGACTGGAAAAAATTGAGTGGAGAAACTGGGTTTACTTACCGTAACCGAGAGCCTTGATGAAAGTTTCTTTGGTTTTTTTTCTCACTTTTTTTTTGTTGCATTCAACAAACACTTATCAATCGTAATGGCATTTCATTCATTTTTGTCTGCGAACTTGGAGGACTCAATTAATTGTCATTCTTGTACATCTTTATCTGTCGAACTTCCTATCCTTTGATTGTTTCGTTTTCACCTTTCGTAGTTATGACTTGATTTATTGTAATTCATGCCCAAATAGTAATTAACAGATATGTCTATAAAGAAGAAAGAAATAAGAATTTGGATGGAAACTTATAAAAATTAATGAAGATACTGTCAGGAGCTTCTTTATAAAAAATCTAGTGGAAATATTGATGTTACTTGAAAGCAATCTGCTAAATTCATTTCAACTCCGAGTAATGCTTTTTCTAAGTGATAAGAAAACGATGGCAGATATCATTACTGTTATCACCATTCTTCATTGTCACTAATTCATGATTCATATATTTGTTTTTTCTTTTTTTTTGTTCTCATTATGATCTCTCATATCGCATCAACTTATTCAATGTTAATGAATTCTGAAAAGCTCTCGCTACTATTAATAATGACTGTATAGATGGCAATGATTGAAAGCAGTGAAATAATCGTTTTAAGTGAAATGGTTAAAATCGGACTAACAGAAAGGGTTGCGGAACAGCAATTTGCCTGTACGCGGTGTAATAGAAGTGGATGTGGGTTGAATTCATCAAAAGGAGAGATGAGATAGGAAAGAAAAGACGGGACAGCCCCGGTGATTCCTTTTCTCAAATAATAACCTGTTCCGATTTTTCAACGCAAAAGCACAATATCAATTGTCGTTCGTTTTCTGCGAACTTCTTCACGATTTTTGTTGTCCTAATAGTCTAGTTAAAATGACATTTTTTGAGCTGTGCAGAGAAAGAAAAATTCACTGGGAATGAAAAATTGCCTGATGAGCTTTTTGAATCATATTGATAAGTTTATTCCTGAGTATTGCATTCTCACAAAAACGTTCATAAAAAGTTGCAGCGTGGCTAAATTACAATGCATATACAACGCTTGTACAAGCCACATATTTTTATGGAGTTTTGCTGAAACTGTTTATGTTACAACAAAATTTAAATTGAATGTGAAGCTTCAAAATAAAAACAACGATAGCTTGAATAAATATAATAATGTACATCAGGAAGTTGTTAATGTTGTAAATATTGCATGCATGAATTCTTTAATTTTAAGCGGCTTTACCATCTTTAATCCAAACAGCGAATTATGTAATTGCTGTGATCACAATTCACTGAATATCATCAATTATTTTCGTGCTAAACTGATGCCCATGTCGAAGCAAAACTTCTGTAACAACGGCTGAACGGATTGATGATTAGTCTTTTGAGACAATCAGGAAACTGAACATTTTCCAAGGCTCATTTGCCCTTAATTTATGTTACATTAATAAAATGTTAGTTTCGGGAATCACAAAAGTCGTTTGACCACATTATTCTATTATTTCTGGGATTTATGTTTTTTGGCTTTGATATCGCTCATAGATTTCTATTTTACCATCCGTCCTTTAGAAAAGTTTCATTTATTTCACGATATTCAAGATCAAATTAAAATAAAGTCAGTCATGAGAATCAGCATCTGTGTGTTGGATAAACTTTGCTAAATTTAATAGAAACCGTAATATTTGTAGTATTTCAGACGGGTAAATGAAGAAGATGGAGGCTTGCTACAATCCCAAAAGTCTAACATTGCCAATTCAGTACAGAAAATTCCTAGATTTCGACGAAATTTCAGCTTGACATTTCGTTTGTTGTAATATTTTTTCCCAAGAGTTCAGTAAGAACTGGATTGCAGTTCTTTTCACAATTCTAGGTTTACTTAATTTTATATTGAGCACAAACAGATGCTTGTTGAATTTCGGATCAATGTTTTGGTGTTCAGGTCAATTGTTCAACCTTTTTCAAGTTTATCAAATCTCCAAATAAGTAATTGCGCGCTTTGATTTAATTTTGCTGATAAACTACTACACAAGAAAAATAGGAAGAAATAAATAAAAGATATTTGCAATTACAGAGGCAATATTTTAAAGTTTAGTGGAACTTTCTCTTCATCTTCATTTTTTCTGTCTTTTTCCCCTTTCCTCATTTTAATAAAACTAATTTTAGGTGTCACATTACAGTTCAAGAAATGACAATTGCGCTGGATGCTCCTATTTATTTCACAACAATATTTCACATTTTTATTTTTCTTATTTTTCTCTCCGACATTATTAGTTTGTAAAGTAAACAACTAACAAAGTTCCTTTCAATACAGATCGTATTTGCTCTAAGCATGCATAAGTTAACTATTTTCGTTGAGTGTTCTTCCCATGTGAGTAAATGCCATTACTTTTGTTAATAAATATTACAGCAGAATGTCAACTTAAGAATTGAATTAGGAATAGCCTTTAATTAAAAAACTCTATATTCCAAAAATATTTTAGAAAACCTAACTTTTTATTTATATTTGAACAAAAGTTTTTATCTAAAATTTGACATCTCGTGAAGTCTTGATGAGACATTTTTATTTTGTGCTGCACAGCTTCATTTTTGGTAATTTAAGATTCAGGAATAAAATAAATGTACAGATCCTACAATTCTGTTATTTGTTAGATTACATTTTTCAATCTTCGCCTTTTTATTTTGCTTGTATTTGTGTCTTCTCTAGTATTACTGATTTGTGTCTCTCGAAAATAACCGGGCCTTTTTTCTTCTATCACTTCGTTCCATCCTATCGCTCTACTTGTCCTTAATGTTTTATACATTGACCTGATGTAAATATCTCAAATGGTACACTGAGGTATGACTTCCGCATTTCATTATCCCAGTTCAAATGCTTTCATTAGTCTATCTATTGATTTTATTTCCGCCATTGCTTCATCATCGAAAGCGATTACTTCATCTTTCAAGTACATTACAACTAAATCGCTTTCATTTCCGGTTTTCTTCCATTTCATTACGACTTTCCCGGGATGAGGGTGCAGGTCTACTTTTGAATACTATCCTCTTTTTACTCTTTCACCTAATATGTCACTCTCCAAAATCGTTGGCTCACCCGGACAAACTTGCAATCACTGACAAGTGACTAGAGATGGTATTGCATAGGCCCCTGTGAAGAACCATGCAATTGTTCCATCTATTTCAATAGCTTTTGGAACTCATAATAGATAAGATTAACAGTTAACATTGTAGCCAGCTGACCATATATAGATCAAAGTTCATCTTCTCGATTTGTTGAAGACTAAGTACCAATGTCTACTTGTACCGATAATATTTCCTACTGAGAGTAACCATGCTAGAATGTGCTTACAACCGAATTTTTTAAGAATAATTAAGGTGTGAAAAGTTCAAAAAAAAAATTTAAATTTGAATAGGACTGTAATTCCGGAAAATTTTTGGAATTTCACAAATTATTTTGCCCTGTTCTGTTTACGAATGTTAAAATTATTTTAACTGTTACGTTATCAGTTAACCTATTTGTTTGCTTCCTTATCGATTTTCTAAATTGCTACAAACAGAAACATTTGAGTTGCAATGTTTTCAAAATTTTCAATTAACCCGGCATGGAGACTTTTGTTACAGTCATCGAAGGCTGCATGCAATTACAACACACTATGGCTGCATGCCTCATAAGAAATAATACAACCTTAGTCCTTCTAGCTCTAATGGTATTTGTTCTGTTTCTGAGAATATTCTTTCAATTTTTTAGAAAAATTAAAATTATGTCTAAATTCCTTTTTGTCGTCACTTTTTCCCACTCCTTCACTATGTCAGTCAGTCCTTATTTTCTTTTTTCTCCAACGGTAAATCCGATTCTTTCTTCTTATCATAAGTTTCCTTTCCGTCTTTTAAAAATTTTGATGAATCATTAAACAGATTCACAAATTTTTGCAGGATTGGGAAGTACAAGAAGTTGGATAAGTGGCAAACTGGAGAACGTAGACCTTAACGATCAGCATGGCCTAATTGCGATGGCCGAGGCTAATAACAAAGTTGCTGTAAGTTTAAGGATGTTTTATTTGACTAAAAATTTTTAAATTTTTGGCTAGTAATATCGATTATTTCAGGTGATGAGTTCAGTCCAGTTATTTATTTTTCTAGTTAGTAATGATGATCAATATCAATCTCCCATGATTATTTCTTAAAATATCTTTCTTTATTACTTACGGTAATTAATTAAGCATGGACCACTTGATTATAAATTTACCGTTTAATATCTTCGCATCCTTCTTTCCTTTTTAAATAAAAAGTTACGTTTATTTAGAAGTATAATAGAGTGAAATTCAATAGAGTACTAAGTTTGATTGCTTCATAAACTTCTCATGAAAGTTAGCTCTAAACAAGAAAATTTTTATTAATTTTAAAAGTCAATTTCTAAATTCTTAATTTACTATCTTACTGTTTCCTCGTGAATTGATAATATACTTGTGGGTCAAAGAATGATAAATAAATAAGTATAAAAGTTAAAAGAAAAGGGGTAAGGAAAGGATAAAATGTCAAACGCTGTTTTTGTCTGTAGTTTTGTGTCTACTATATAGAAGATGTTGAATAAGCACGATCTTTATTGATTATATACAGTTAAGTTCCGTGATATATTATCAGCGAGGCTGGAAAACCTCTTCTGTGAAAAACGGGGAAGAGTTCAATTGTTTGTCTAAATGAAAATTTTGGAAATTTCTTGCGGAAAAATTTTATCATTTAGGATTCAAATCCGGCTGTGCCGATGGAAAAGAAGGGACCAATGACGAAGGAGAATGTACCGAAGAATGTTACCTGCACAACGACGACAGCATACTTTTTGTTTATGATTGCGGTTGCTTCAATAATATTGTCATCATTGATAACTTACTGGGTAACAAAGGAAACATATGATCGATCGCTTGAAATAAGGCCCTCCGCCGACGCACAACAAGCAATGTGAGTACTGTTAAATTGCTTATCGAATCTTGAATTGAAAGAGCAGGTAATCGGAAATTAATTGGCTAAAACTTCTGAACTTATCCCTTAGACGCAGTTCTGGAGTTGATTTAAAATTAACACAATCGATAAAAAATAATTGTAATTATTAGACTTTTCAAAGACGAACTTTTCTTCCGGATTTTATATGTCTCTGCTCCTTTTTTTTTATCCGTTATTTTTCGATTCCTGTTTTGCATGTTACTTTCTCCTAAAACTTAAATATTTTCATTGTAAAAAGAACACTCAGGTATTTCATAGTAGCGTGAAGTTTATTTGTCGAAAAAAAATCCACTGATTTTTATGTTTTTAATGAAATATATCGTATTTAGCGCAAATGTATCAGTGGATGAATCTCCTATAGACGAAGAGCTCAGTGGCCCTACCGCGGCTGAACTACGTTTACCGAAAGATATTGTGCCCATATGGTTTATATTTTTCGAATAAAATTGTTTGTTAGGAAAGACATTAACTCGTATCGGGCCTAGCTGTGATGATATCCAGGACAAGGTTAGAGGTCAACGAGCTGAAGATTTTATCAGAGAAGCGTCGTTTTCTTGATTACTTGTTGTTTGATTTCATAGAGGATGATCAACTTATTTTATTCTATATGATTTATTTTTGAATTACTGGAGAGAAGAAGAGAGGTTTAGAAGGAACTTTAATAAATATCCAAGGCTTTTATCTACGAATAAATCAGGTTATTTTATAATTAAAACTTATGGAATATGAACTCATGGTTTTGCAGGTACAATTTGACGATTAAAATATATTTGCCTGGTTATGTAGAGATTCCAACAAGCAAGAATATGACGTTTGATGCTGCGCTGATTATCAAATTTCGGGTTGATGAAATGACCGATAAAATTGTCCTCAACTCCTTGAAGTTGAATTTTCCTGATAATTCGGAAGAAATCAAGATTTTGCAGGATAAAGTTATTCAAACAGAGCAGGTCGCTTGTTTATGCCTTCTGGATGTTTTTTAATTGTTTGTGATTAAATTTTTCAATACCTAACTTCTATTTTCAAAAACAGTAATTTCCAAGCATGGCAGATTTGAGAGGTATTCTGCGTTAGCATATATTTATCTTGGTCTGTTGCATTTCCCGAGGTTTTCAATAGTTTCGAGTGGGAAGCTTTAACACTTTTGTGTAAGAAGTTTAATCGTCCTTTTTTGTCAGTTATTAAATCCTTCCATTGAGTCATTCTGTTTTCAACTTTACTTGAAGAAAATTATTTTTTCTTTTTTTGCTACTTAAAAATCATAGCTCAACAAATACATACAAACAAGGGGCAATTAACAAAAAAAAAAAAGAAAAAATTTCAGTTTTCAAGAGCACGGCGAAATTTGGAAAATACAACCTTAGAGGAATATATCACCACCGTATGTATTTTCTTAAACAGTCTTTGGTATTTCTGTTGAAGCATGCTAATTTTTTTTCTTTTTTTAAAAAAAAGAAAAATAGTTTGAAAAACTAGAAGTTGAAATAAAATAGTAGCTTAGTTAATCATTTCAGATCAGAACAACTGAAGCAGAAGAAATGGAAACTACAATGGAAATAAAAGAGAATGAGACAGAAAGTTCCACTCTTACATCAGATATGAATTTGGAAGATCTCGAATTGGAGAACACTACTGTAGAGCAACGACCGCTGCCGACTAAAGTTGTTGCCGATGTTCAGGTTTTGAGTTACAGTTATTCTTACAATAAATACAAGTAACTTTTCGTGTTTGTTTGAACGACTGATTTTATGAATTTCATAAAAATTTCATTTTTTTAAAATTTTAACTGCAGCCATAGTTTTTGTCCAAAATTTAAACGGTAGTTGCAAACATATCGTTAACAGCAATTTGCAGTCTTCATTTAAGCGATATTTGTGTTTAGGTGAAAAAGATTGTTGTAAACGAAACATTGGAAATGGTAACGTTGTTGCTGGATGGAAGACTAAACAAGGGACAAGAGTATTATTTACAGGTGTCATTTGGGAACCTTTAACGTTTTGCTTAATATATTCTGCGATATTTGTCGTTTTCATAAAAAAGTACAGTTTCAGATCGCATATTCAGGTCCAATTCATATAAAACTTGCTGGTTTGTATTTGAGTCGATACCAGAATGATCAGGATATGACAAGGTTGAACTTCATTATTTGAATGCAAATGCTGATAGTAACGAAGTTACCAAATTTGTCCTTTAACTTTAGGTTTGTAGCAGTAACGCAAATGCAGGCAACGGATGCTCGTCGTATGGTTCCATGTTTTGATGAACCAGAATTTAAAGCAATTTGGAAGATCAAAGCTATTCATCCCATTGGCACCTCAGCTGTATCCAATGGGATTGAAATGAAAAATGCTGAAAAAACGTGCAGTTCCTCCTTGTTATTTTGCATCAAAATATAAGTCTATTGGAAATATACTAAAAATTGTTTCGAAAGGAAATGATTCGAAATGATTCCTTTAGCTGCTTCGGTCGACTTGTCCGGATTGTCTTGCTATTTCAGTCTTACTAACTGATAGGCTGTTTGGGTAGAAGAGAAAAATTACACGGAGATTGGGAAATTCTTGTGAGTCCAAGATTGAAATACTCGTAACCGAGATTTTAGGTTCTAAGTTTATCGCATTGAAACGAGGAACAAACTTGAAAGGAGCCACTGGACAGACATTTACTGAAAAGGCAGAGAGATCGGAAAAGCGGACATACGCAACTTTATTCGAATGAGAATCCCAATTATTGTTTAGATTTTCATTTCCGTCTACCGTAGAATTTTTTTTCAACTTTCTAAGTAAAGTTAAGAGTTTCTTTATCAGTTATTTGATGATTGGACGTTCATAACAAACACATTACAAGAACGTTTTCAATTTTTCAGTTACGAAAATTACAAACTTCTTTGCTAAATAATAACCACAATATTTCAAATATCTGTTATTACTATTATAATAAAAAACGTGGAATATATATTTAAGGGATAATCCTGACTGGGTTGTTACTTCATTCATCGAGTCACCACCTATGTCATCCTATCTGCTGGCGCTGGCCGTTACTGATTTTGATTTCATTGAAGGGACTACGAGTATGGGAACAAGGGCAAGTAACATTAATTAATTTGCAATGTTATTTCGTCCGTTATAATATCTTACTGATGTATTATCATATGTTTTGCAACGTTGACAACATTGTCATTGACTACCTTTGAACAAAAAGCGCCAAATCATTTTCACCAGTTGTGCATATCTGCCTTTAGTTTAATGTTCGAAACAGAATTGAAGTATCGTTGTGTATCAGTGTGTGATATTTCATCCTGCATCCTACACTTGACAGTTAACGATCGCTACTTTTTTAGTTCCGGATTTGGTCTCGCGAGGAAGCTTTAAATCAAACAATTTATGCTCTTAGAGCAGGAATTTCAGTTTTGGAATTCTATGAAGATTATTATAACATTTCTTTTCCACTTAAAAAGCAAGGTAATTAATCTCTTAGCAAGGTAATTAATCTTCTTCGTTTCTTCGTAAAGTTCTTTCCCATGCTATTGTTTTAGTGAAAATTCGTATTTAATCTAAACAATCTGAGCATATTCTTCTCCTTACATTTTTATAGTTTCACTAAGCTTCTTGTAAAATAAATTAAAATAAAAATCAAAATATCTAAGATTAGAATCTGAAAACCCTGAAATCTTCTCCCTCTCTTTTGTGCAATCAGCACTGTTATAGTGTCCATCTAGTTGTAGATATATAACAACTGCCGTTATAGATATGATGGCTTTGCCAGATTTTGCTGCTGGAGCAATGGAAAATTGGGGTTTAATAACTTATCGTGAGAAGTATCTACTTTATGATGAAAGGCTCTATGCACCATCTCAGAAAGTTGGTGTCGCCTTGGTTGTCGCTCATGAACTGGCTCATCAGGTTTGTTCTGCAGCCGAAGTTTAACGGATCAAACTGTTAATTTAGTAATTCTAGTCACTACGCTGGATGAAGAGGATGGATAGATAGTTAATGATTTGACGTCATCCATTAGACAGCAAATTAAAAATGCAGCATTAAAAATGCTTTGGAAAGAAGCCATGTAACAGAAATAAGTCTGAGAGTGAGATTCGCAAACCATTTACATTTAATTAAATTTGATAAATTTTGTTTTTTTTTGACGATTTGATATGACATATTATTCAGTGAATGATTCTGTACTATAGTGTACCACTGTCCTTTGTAGTGGTTTGGTAATTTGGTGACGATGAAATGGTGGAATGATTTATGGTTAAACGAAGGCTTTGCAACCTTTATGGAATATCTAGGGACCGATGCAATCAGTAAAGGCAGTTTCCGCATGGTTTGTAAATTTCATGCTCTTTTTCTGAGAATTGGATTGTTCTACAATTTTATTATCCTTCTCTGTTGCTGAAAAAAGAAACTTTCTTTTTTCATTCTGTTTAAACTCGTTTACACTCATCTAATGACCATACCCTCTTATCATTATTGATAACAATCACTTAGCGTTAAAATACCATTGCTTTTTAGATTTTCATTCAACAAATTTGTCATATTTAAGGGTGATTATTTCTTGCAAGATGCTGTATATTCTGCATATCGACGTGATGGACAAGCCACTTCTCATCCTTTATCGTTCCCGATTGATAAGGCTGAAGATGTGAGTGAGGCATTCGATGCGATCACATATAACAAGGTTATGATGCTTTGCTCTTGCGGAGGATTTCAAATAATTTTCAAGTTATTATAAAGTTTCTCCGACATTACTTATTTATAATTAATTTCAGGGTTCCGCAATAATATTTATGATTCAGCATGTGATGGGATCTGAAAACTTCAAGAAAGGGTTACATGTCAGTTAATTGATTCCATTATCTTAAAGAGATTAGCTCTCTGTCATCACTGAGTTTGAGCCAAGAAGATATAAATCTAATTTGTGGTCCAGTTTCTGGCACATATTTATATATTTCTCGATTCAGAAAGGAAAATCAAAAAATCCTTTTTAGACAGTCCTCAGATATCGGTAAAGATATACATTCTAATCTCATGGCCGTGATCAGATATTTGCTGTGATATTGATCATTTTCGGCTTGGTTTTGATATTCCAAATAGTTAAACAAAAAAATTTCATTATTAAGTTTTAGAACTACTTAGAAAGCCACAAGTACCGCAATGCAGATCATGATGATTTATGGAGTGCTCTCAATGGGGCAGTCCCGGACGCACTATTGTCATGGGAGGGCGATAAGCTTGACATAAGAGACTTTGCATCCAAGTGGACTCAACAGGTATTCTTAATTATCGCAAATCGACAGAAATGACGTGAGTTGCAATATTAGAATACCGGATTGTTATTGTTTATGTGTAATATATTGAAGGATTGAAGCAAGCGCCGTTTGTGATTAAATTCTTT